CAAATAAAAAAAATAAAAATAAAAATAAAAAAAAAAATAAATAAATATAATTACCTGTTGGGTTCCTACAAAGGGCTGTATTTTGGGGTGTATATCCACATCAGAGAAATACGTATCATGGGAGAGAAATAGATTTTCTTTTTTTATTTTAATTATATAAATAGATAAAGAACCTAATCTGCCTCTCCTTAATATAAAATCACAGCGCCATACTGTCTCTATCCACTTTATAAGATTGTCTCTGTCTCCTGTTTGTATACCCAAAGGAGATACCTTGCTGCTGCTGCTGCTGCTGCTGCTGCTGCTGCTGTCCGCTCCTGCTGCTGCTGCACCCCACAAACTGCTCACACTACCGCCACCACCCCCACCGCTGCTGCTGCTGCTGCTGCTGCTGCTGCTGCTGCTGCTGGGGTGAGGGTATATAAGGAGCCGTGTGTCTGTGTCTGCGTCAAGAACTAAATAATTAATTAAATAAAGCATCAATTCTCCCCCAGTAAGTAAACATGATAAATTTTTTTTTATAAAATAAAGAGCTTCAGAGCCAACACAAAGAAATACACTTTTCTTTTTATTTAAATAATATAAACGGCAAAAACTATAATATACGATTCGGCCCCCGCATATATCAGACAAAGAACTCAACACCGCCTTCTCACTCATCTCCTACCTGCTGCTGCTGCTGCTGCTGTTGCTGCTGCTGTTGCTGTTGCTGCTGGTGCTGCTGGTGCTGCTGGTGCTGCTGTTGCTGCTGCTGTTGCTGCTGCTGTTGCTGCTGGTGCTGCTGCTGCTGTTGCTGCTGGTGCTGCTGCTGGTGCTGCTGCTGGTGCTGTTGCTGCTGTTGTTGCTGCTGTTGCTGTTGCTGCTGCTGTTGATGCTGTTGCTGCTGCTGCTGCTGGTGCTGCTGCTGCTGCTGTTGTCACTGCTCCTCCTGCTGCTGCGGGTGCTGGTGGCTATGACAGCTGAATGTCTGCTGCTGTTGCTGCAACAGCTGCTGCTACAGCTGCAGCAGCAGGAGCAGCAGCAGCAGCTGCTGCTGCTGCTGGTGCTGCTGCAGTCGAAATCGAGATACTGCTGCAGCTGACGCTGCTGCTGCTGAATGTCTTGCTGCTGCTTTTGCTGCTGAGTCTCCTACTGCTGCTGTTGCTGCTGTTGCTGACGTTCCTGCTGCTGCTTATGCTAGGGACGGTGAGCGCTTCGATCCCTTCGCTGCTGTTGCTGCTGCTGCTGCTGCTGCTGTTGCTGCTGCTGCTGCTGCTGCTTCTCTTCACATGGATGCTGTGGATGGTGGTACTGCTGCTGCTGATTCTGCTGCTTGCGGCGCTGCTGCTGCTTCTGTTGCCGCTCCAACTGCTCCCGCTCTTGCTGCTGCTGCTGCTGCTGCTGCTGCTGCTGTCGGCGGGGGGTTGATAGCTGCTGCAGCCTGTACGAAGGTGAGGGGCCCTGCTGCTGCTGCTGCTGCTGCTGCTGTTGCTGTTGCTGCTGCTGCAGCAGGGTGGAGATGTGTCGGCGTCAAGTTGCGGTGTACAGACACCCGGACCACTCCAAGACCGCCGGGCTGCTGCTGCTGCTGCTGCTGCTGCTGCTGCTGACTGCAGCAGCAGCAGCAGCAGCAGAAACGACAACTGCAGCAATGTAAGGTAGATCTATTTCTCTTTCTTTCTAGCTGTTCATTGTTTTCTGAGCTGCTGCTGCAGAAGCACCGGCAGCAGCAGCAGCAACGACCGAGACCGTCAGCAGCAGCAACAGCAGCAGCAGCAGCAGCAGCAGCTGCTGCTGCTGCTGCTGTATCTGCATGCGTCTTCTTTTATTTCTTCTTTATTAATTATTAATAATTAAAAATAAT